CGAATTCATCTTTTTGCAGTACTGCCGACATGCTGCGAAAATCAACAGCAACATGCTGCGTCCTGCCAGCAATTTTAGGATGTATGCATACTAACATGTGCAGCTGCTCAAGCTTGTGGTTGGTCGGTTGGAAACCGCCTCACCCATGTTTCCTGCTGCACCTTCGTCTGTTTCTTCGGCCTCTTCGTGGCATTCTGCTTTTGATCCTCCTGAAGAAGTTCGCTCATCCCGTGAGAGGAAGAAAAGTCCTAAGGACGAAGCTTCTCGCAAGAAAAGCAAGAAGTCCAAGTCCAAGAAATCCAAAAAGATTTCGAAGGACAAAGAAAAGATTTCGATGGACAAAGAAAAGGCAGATGTGAAACATCCTGCTGGTGGAAAACGTGTGGAAACCGCCTCACGACTCGTGCAAACCGGCGATGTTGTGCTCGATGCTATTCGCAACAGCAAACCTTTGCCACCCCCTGCGGCGGCCAACAACACTGTGTACAAAGGCCAGGGAGTAGCCAAGATGATGGCTCGTAGCGGTTTTCGATGTACATGCCATTATGTGCGTGCACATCTGTGCCCCGTCAGGCTCATAGCCGAAGAATTCGGTGATGGGGCTCCCATTCGTACTTCTGAATAGGATTTTTCACTTGTGTCCTTTGTCGTGCCAAAAAGAAGAGCCAGCTTTTGTACAGCAGCTTTCTATGCCGAACAACCAGCAACCAATTATCTTATACTGCAGCTTGCATCGGCTTTGTTCAGGTAACCACTTTCTCCAACAGCCACATGTCGGCCCTTTCGTTGGTCGTGTCCAATCCGGTCATTGTGGCGAGAGTGGTGTCTTTTGTTTCCTCGCGGAAGCAAATCTTCTTCTTCTACTTCAATCCGGCCTTTTGGACTGAAGAAGATCGTGATCAACTCGAGTCTGCTGATTCCTCTGAATCTGATGAGCCTTATCCGGACAGTGCGGCTCGTGTCATTTCTGATCGCATCCGCCAACGTTTTTCGCTGCGTGCTACCTGCAGACACTGCAGACACATCGCTTACGGTGGGTAGTCTAAACTATGGTTCCATTCGTGAACACTTTGTACAGCGAGAGTGCCCAGCACAGGCCCAATGTACTATATGTGCCTGTCATGTACAACTCGGTACCAATGCCACAAGCCACTTTTTACGGTGCGGTAAACCGAGTTTTTCTACGATCCATCTTGTTTCTCTATAAAGGGACACTGTACATTGCTTTTCGGCAACTGCTGCTGCAGTCGCAGCAGAAGGCCATCTTTTTCGATTGGCTCTGCACCGGTCGCGAAGATCGTTTTCGCGTCAGTTCAACTCTTATTGCCGACCTCAAAGTTTTTCGTGTCATTTCACCCCTTGCTGACATGCCATAACCTTCCAGTTGCAGCGAAACAGAAAAGCGTTTGCTGCTCTGACTTTTTTTTTGCACATAGTTCTTCATCTGTGATCCAGTGGCGTAAAGTTCTGGCTCTCAGAGAAATCCGCCATGGCTGATCGCAACAGATCTCGTTCCCCAACGATTTCATGGCGATACTATTGGACCAGCTCTGTAGCAGCTGATGGCTCTTCCCTCTGGTGGAAGAATTGGTTTCCAGCTACTCAAAATTGGATCCAATCTCGCCGCGCTGCAGATGCCAGGGGCATGCAAAGCCCCCAAGAATCTCCGACGTCTTACTCGTCGTCTGAGACACAACAGGACCCAGCTGCAGCCAGCTCTGTCCGGAAGCGAAAGCGAGATGTTTCTCCTTGAGAGTCGGCTTTACTAAATTATGCATGTTGCCAATACGTTGGCCAGTTGAGAGCAAACAGATGTACAGAATTTTTTTGCCACAACCTTTCTGCTACTCCTCACAAGAGGAGTAGCTGTGTGTGTGAATCCCTGATAGCAAAGGGCGTTTCTTGATCAAAAAAGCAGGGGAGTGGTGCATGCTGCTGGAGTCACCACTCAACGAAGACACTCCTTCAGCATGGTGATATGGAATCGGGACGCCGATTCCACGTACCTGCAAGTGATTATGGCAAGGGGCTACTGTAAGCCAAGAACCCCTACAGGACCCTTGCTGTACATTGATTGTGCAGTGCACCACTGAGATGAAGATGTAACCATGTGCTAACTACTCCCACCATGGAGTTTGCAAGTGTGTGTGTGTGTGTGTGTGTGGGTGTGCGTGCGCGCGTGCGTCAGTGCCTCGGGTGTGACAAAGCTTGCACGGGTAATTAATAGTTAATAGACATTGTGACATGGGTGTAGCCGTTGTTGCGGTTATGGCTCAACGGGCACTAACGTTTGATGTCGGCTGGAGTTTGCGCTTCACGGTCTGTCTCCATCATTTCGGAGTGGAGAGCATCTTTTCATGTTGGCACCAATGTTTGAATGGTTCGTGCTGTCACTTTAGAGTCACTTTCGCATCAGTTTTATTTGTGCTTCTCGGCCTTTCGGCTTCCCGCCACGTTTCCGAAGTTTTGGCTTTACAGCTGCCTCCCGAGTGTGGGCTTGAGTTGAACACTCCTTGGTACAGTTTTTGGCTCGTCACATGTTTGCCGGTTTCGGGCGACACCATTTTGCTGCCCTTGGGGTTTCGGTTTTTTCCACCCATCATTCCATTCCCCTTTCGGGTCATGGGCTTCCTCCCTGACACTGGGGGTTTTCGGCTCACCACCTACCATCCCATCAACCATCACTTTTTTACAGGCTCGTCCCGTCCGTGGGCTGCGGCCCGTGTGCGAGGATGCGCAAAAAGACGGCAGCATCAGTAGCACCCATGAACAACCGCCACCAAATCCAAGCCCCTTTGCCCCGAATGCATGCAGTCGTCGTGTGCCTCTACTGTGATTTCTTACTCAGGTGTCCGAGATGGTGGACGAAGTCACGGCCAAGGCCCCCGATGCCTATGATGTCGGATTGGCGAAATCGAATTTGTCCGGGGCAGGAGCAGCGACATCAGGCCAAGCAGGTGGTGAAGGATTTCGCCACTTCGCTTGCATCCACTGCAGTCGTGCTATGTCAGCTTCTTCGACGCCTGGCTTCATGTGAGGTTAAGGAGATGGTCAAGGGCCGCAAGATGAATGTCAGAGACTTGGGCAACCCTGCCAGACAAGAGGCAAACGTTCATCTGCAGATCAACCTGGAGATGTCGGTAGACTATCTGGGATTTAGCAGCATTTGGTCTTTGCTGAAGTTCAGGTAATGACCCAGGCCGGCCAGCTGAAAACGTGTGTGAGCGCTCAGCTTTCCAACTCCATCGATGAAGATGCCTTTTTCTCACGCATGGATCACATTTTACCAATGGGATGATTGTTCTTCGCTTCGTAGTGTTGAAACTCCAAGCAATTAGCAGCCGTTTCAACGTTTCTGTGAACCCAGCCATTCTACGTTTCTGCAACACAGCCGACCAAGTGGGGCAGGGGGTTGTCAAGCCATATTAAGCCCAGTCCTTACTCAACCTCCTCAGCGACTCCCAACCTAGCTCAGGTGTGGTGTCGTTGAGTCGCAATCTAGATGCCTTGAAGATCAAGGCCCCTGAGATACTCTGCTGTCGCAATAGCAAATCTCGAGATCCCTATGCAGGTGGGTGCACAAAATCGGAGCATCGCACTTCGAGATGTGGACGAGATTGCAGCAGGCCTGTCACAGCATGTCCATCAGCAGTTTGATTTTTGTGGGTTTGCAGCTGGTGCAGCAGGTGCAGATGTCGAGGGTCGCTCGACTGGGATGCACAGTGTGACGGCCTATTCTGGCTTGTCGATGGGTTTTTGTGCAAGGTATTTCGACTCCGCTGGATGACTTATGCGCTACGCTGGTGCTCTCCGATGACTGGGTAAAACTGTCGCTGGTGCCAGTTTTATCCGTGAGCCATTTGCTGTCGGTGTTAACGTAAGAACAAGGAGCCTTCCGTATGTGGCCGCCCCCACAGCAGCCAGACAGCCAGATTTCCCAATAAGCGATCCTTGACAGAGTGTCAGACACGATGCGGGTCGATGCAGCAATGCAGGACTGCATCACGTTCCGGTTTGCGGACCTCAATGCTCGGGACGTTGTGCTGCTGTGCTTCTGCTTTCACATGGAAGTGTGAACCAGGTCGACAGAAACGCCTTGTATTTTGCAGGACACCTTTGTCATGTGCTTGCTGATGTTTTGCAACAGCCAGAAGTGAGTGGCCGGAGCAGTTGCAGCTTGCAGGCAGCTTGCAGTCCTTCGGAGCCGAAAGCAGAGGGCACTTTCGCAAAAGGACGAGGAGGGAGATGCAAATGCAGCGGATGGCAACCAGTTCGACTTGCATGACCTACTAACCTACTGTAAGATAAGCATCATTTGCCACAGTGTAGTCGTAGGCTGAAGATGTCGAGATGATTTGATGGGTTTGGGGGTGTTTGCCTTGGGGTTTGGTGGGCTAACCCTCGTTGCTTACTGCAAACTTGCGCGTCCTTTGCTTGCAGCCTGTTGTGCCATGTTGTGCCAGGTTTCCTGTGTGTTCAGGTGTGTCCGCTTGTTCAGGTGAGCAGCTGAGTTTTGCCCGCCCGCCCGCCCCGATGAGTGGCAAAGGGCATGGTTAGACCTGATTGGTCCAGCGCCCGGTGGCGTGTCTTTCCTCCAGGGGTTCGGATTTCTCGGGCCTGGACGGCCACATTTCCCATGTGCAAGGGAGGATTTTTCATGTTGCGGCTCTTGCGGATTGTGGTTTCGACCTAGTTCCTCGTTGCTTCGTGCAGGCTGAGAGGTCTTCCGGTGGAAGTGGCTGTTCTAGTGATAGGGGTTACTTATTTGGCAATTCACCTATTGGCACCAAGATGCACATCATGATTGCTGGCTCCCAACATTCCCATGCAACGTGTGCATGCTTGCATGCTGCTGCCGTGGCCAGGTCTTGCCCAAGCGAGCTTCGGCAAGCTGAAGCTCAAGCTGGAAGCATGTCTAAGCAAGCCAACCCAGTAGGTTTCCGGCGTCTTGCTTGTAATCAGGTTTAGCCACTTAGCCTAGCCCCGGGTCTTCAAAAGCAATGTCCAGTCGCGATGGGACACCAACGCCAACAACCATCCGCCAGGTTCGGGTGCCTGCAGGCACTTTGCCAGGCCTTGAGAACGCCAAGTCTTGCAATGAGAGGTTGTGCGTGCCCCCATGGCTCCAGTCTGGGGCCCTGAGGCTCGTTGCTTTCCATGGCTTGCCGTAGAGTCCCCAGAGTGGCTTTGATGGCCGTGCCGAGCCAGGTGCTAGCTCTCAAGGCAAACAGGCCTCGCTTGAAGTTGAGCTCATCGCTGGCGGTGCTTTCCTTGCTGCGAAGGCACAGTTGCGAATCCACTGATGGCTCGTTTGTTGTGGGCACGGAGGCCTTGCCCAAGCGGAGCGACTGAGCCAAACGCAAGTTGAGCCAGTGCAGGACCTGTCCAGCTTTGAGGGTGAGGAGTCTGACGAGGCAGAGCTTCGCTTCGCTTTTCGCTCTGCCTGCAAGCGACAAGCGCTTCCGTGGCATTGTCACGGCTCAGAAACTGCTCGCCTTGCTCGGTGACCTTGCCTTGGGTGCCGAGGAGGTCGAGGAGGCCACGGTAGCACAGCACAGTCAAATGCCGTGGTGCCGTGGTCGGATGTCGGAGGACCCAGCTGCCCGCGTGCTTCTAGACGAGTGTGGCGCCTTGTGGGAGGAAGCCGGGATCTCAAAGGCTCAAAGAAGTTTGCACGAACGAAGTCCAAGCGGTCGCCAGGTGCATATGGAAGCCGAGGCGAGCAGAGCAGAGTCACTCGCATTCTGCTCGGACTTACACGCAAGTAAGGGAATGGCTTCTGGTGTCGAAAGGCCCAGCGCGAGATGCAGTGCCGGCTTCGCCGGGAGCTGCAGCACCTGCAGGACAGGAGCCACTGGCAGCCTGGAACTGAGATGAGCAGATGAGAGTTGAGAGAAAACGACTGTTGTCCTTGGTTTGCATTTCGGCCCTGAATCCTGAAGGCACGCGGAGTCTGGAGCTTTTCTGCAGCGACTCTCGGTCGCCAGGGAGGCCTTGGCTGATAAGATCCGCGAGGCTTCAGACGAGAATGAGGTGCCCCAAGTGGCCGACAGTGCGCAAGACCTGCGGTTCTTGGTCACCTCACATCTCCAGGCTCTGAGACAGAGGCTTCGGCGGCATCATACGGAGGAGGAGCGACTGCGCTGTGGACTTGCTGAAGGTCTGGGAGAGTGAAATGCAGAAGCTTCCGATGCCTGCATCCCTTGACTTCCGAGATCTGCGGTGCTTGGACGCCCGGGCCGCAGAGCTACGGGCGGCGATCTTCGAAACAGGGCAAAGCCAAGCGGAGCTTGTGGAGCGCCTGCGAGCCGTCACCAATACCCAGGCAAGTGCCAGTCTGCAAGTCGTCGAAGCATGTCAAAAGCTGTGATACGCGTATGCACAAACCAAAGCAAGGCTCATTTGCAGGCAGAGCTGCAGCAGGAGCGGGTGAAGACCTGGCGCCAGGAAGCCTCCTCTGTTTCTCTCAGCTGTGCGACGTGTCGACTGGCCTTGCGCGGCAGTCCACCGATGTTGTCATGGCCTTCGCTGGCGGCAAGGAGAGGGATCGGTGAGTGGACGGCGGGAGGCGAAGAGAAAAAAAAGCCAAACAAAGCCTTGCATGGAGTTTGAGAGAGGACGGCGGGAGGGAGCTGGAGCGCGAGGAGGCCGAGAGGCAAGGAGCAGAAGCCGCGCAACACACACCGGAACGGAGCGTGGTGTCATATTTTTGACTCTACTAATACTATATACATTGTCTTTGAGGCTGCTCTTGGAGTCTCAGCTCACAGAGGTGCAGCGTAGTGCAGCGTAGTGCAGTACCGAGAGTGCAGCAGAGTGCCTTGCCCTGGACTAGGTGGCCTCGCGTGCTGCCGCCGCTGGCATCCCGCGGTTATGCGACGAGGTGCTTAAGTCGAGTTCTTTGCTCAAACCAGGCCCGACCTTTGACAGGCCTCGGAAAATGCATTTGGGTTTGCGCAAAGCTCCGCGAGCTCAATCTGAGCAGCGCTTGGTTTGTTGCTGAATCAGCACAACTTAGAGCATGTTCGGGTGTTTGGACGGCATTGAACGGCTGTTTTGCCGAAACTAGGGCCAAATGCTTTGGCAGGCCTTGGAAAATGCATTTGGGCTTTAGGCTTCGGGAGCTCGATTTAGGTTCGGAGATTGTGCCAGGACCAGCAAAGCCGAAACAACTGTAAATGCATTTTCCAAGCCTTGGAAAGTGCATGTTTGGGCCCTGGAAGCCAAACCAAAGCATTTTCAATACGATGTTCGGTGCGATTTGCAAGCCTCACGAAAACATGTGGAGCTTGGATGCCATGGGAAGAACCTTAGAACCACTCCGCCGGAACGAACCTGGAACCGGCTTCTAACCTTGCCCCGACCCTGGAACTTCCCCGAAATTGGAAGGAACCTGGAACCCGCTTCGGAACATGGCCCCCGCGAAGCCTGCCTCAGAACCTGGACCGGAACCCCCCAAAACCTATTGCCCGAATCTCCCCCAAACCTAGTTTCGACTGAAGACCCAGAGTTCACGCTGCTGGGGAGCAAGAAGACACAAGAATGTTGTTTCTTGTGAGGAGCCCGAGGTGGCCGAGGCTGTCTTGGCAGCTGCTGACACCGTGCCCTTTTCAACATTGCAGGGCCAGCTAGACAGCTTCGAGGAGCTCAGAATAGCTCAGAGCGCTCTTGCCCGGAACTCTGTCCCCCCGCAGGAGTTGCGTGGTGCTTTGGAAGCTTTGGAGGGCAGCTGCGCTCTGTCCACGGCCCAACAGAAGGAGGAGACATAAATGCCGATGGAGTGCCGATAGCGGCACGTGCGGTTCGTGAGCCTTGGTGGGCATAAGTTTTCGTTTAGGAGGAGGAGAAGCTGGGTGCCGAGCAGCTCGAGCTTTCCCGGCTTGCCGAAGAGATGGCGACTGCTGAGGCGGTCGAAAGATGGAGAGAAGTGGAGAGAAGTCTCCAAGAAGAAAAAACTGCTCCACAGCATGTAGTGACATAGCATATCTGGACATATCGAAGAACATTGCGTGGCCATGGGCAGTGTGGCATTGTTGAGGGCAGTGGAAAGTTTGAAGCTCTGGGTCCGGTCAGGCCGCAGCCCAAGGTCCAGAGCTGGATCAGGACGCTGTCGGCTGTGCTGTGCCTCTTGTGGAATGTCTTCGCTAATACAAAAGTTGGTTGGAAGCTTTTCAGTCACTTGCGGAAGTTTCTTCTCGTTTTCGCATTGTCTCAGCTTTGCGGGTGGGGGTTCTTTTTGTGTATTTTTTATGGTTTAATTTTGGTATTTTTTTACGGTTTTCGGTTCGGCGGACGCAGGACTCAGTCAGTCAGTCAGTCGGTCAATCAGCCAACCGAGCGGTCAGTCAGTCAGTCGGTCAGCCAACCGCGCGGTCAGTCAGCCAGTCAGTCAGCCAGTCAGTCCGTCTGCCAACCGCGCGGTCAGTCAGTTAGTCAGTCAGTCAGTCGGTCGTCCAGCGGTGAGTCGGTCAGCCAGTCAGTCCGTCTGCCAACCGAGCCGTCAATCAGTCTGGCTGTCTGTCAATCAGTCTGTCAGTCCGTCAATCCTCTAGTCAGTCGGGCTGTTGATCTGGCGTTGCACCTGCAACCAGTGAGCATGGGGTACCGGAGACTCGGAATCGCCAAAAGAGGGGGCGCGTTTAAGATATATGATGAACCGGAACCGCCGAACTCAGGGGGCGTGTTTAAGATAGATGACGAACCGTTATCACCCAAAGAGGGGGCGTGTTAAAGACATATGTTGAAACGGAGCCGCCAAAAGAGGGGGCGTGCTCAAGATATTTGGTGAACGGTCATCGCCGAATGCGGGCGCGTGTTAAAGATATCTGGTGCACCGGAATCGCCGAATGAGGGAGCGTGTTGAAGACATGATGAGCCGTTATCACCAAAAGAGGGGCCGTGTTTAAGATATATGGTGAACGGTCATCGCCGACTGAGGGGCCGTATTAAAGATATATGGTGAACCGGAAAGGGGTGTGTCTAAGATTTTTTGCATAATCTATGGTGAACCAGAATCGACAAATGAGGGCGCTTGCTTAAGATGTGATGAACCGCCGGTCCTCTTGCAAGTGCATTTGCAAATGGGGGGGCTGCGCCGCCCCCCAGACCCCCCCCCCGCTTTCCCAAGCTTTGTTTTTCTTTAGCAAACTTCGTACCATCAAGAACGCTATGGCCATTTGCGATGGTCGCAGCAAGTCAAGCGCATAACTATTCTGAGACTTTTCAAATCCCGTCCCCCCCTCGCTTTATGTTTGGGCCACGCAAGCTAAGATTTTTGGTGAACGGTTTTCGCCGAATGAGGGAGTGTTAAAGACGTATATGGTGAAGCGAAATTGCCAAATAAGGGGTGTGCTTCATATATATATATATATAGATATATATATATATATATATATATATGGTGAACCGGAATCGCCAAATGAGCGGGGTTGTTTAACACGTATCATGAACCGTTATCGCCAAATGAGGGGACGCGTTTATCATGTATGTTGAACCGTTATCGCCACTTGAGGGTGGTGTATTATAAGCAATAGGCTGACCCGCAGTTACCAAATAAGGGGGGGTGCTTACCGCTTGCAAGTGCGTTTGCAAATGGGGGGGGCTGCGCCCCCCCCCCCCCAACCCCCCCGCTTTCTTCAGCTCCGTAGTGAGCTTGCTTTAGCGAACGTCGTGCCATCAAGAATGCTTTGTGGCCATCATTGGCGATTGGTCGTAGCAAGTCAAGCGCCTAACATATATGAGACGTTTCACAGAGACGTTTCACAGCCCGTCCTAAGGGCCCAACCCCCTCCCCCTGCTTTATGTTTGGGCCGCGGTGAATGGTTTTCGCCGAATGAGGGGGTCTTGTTATCGCCGAATGCGGGCGCGTGTTAAAGATATCTGGTGAACCGGAATCGCCGAATGAGGGAGCGTGTTGAAGATATGATGAGCCGTTATCACCAAAAGAGGGGCCGTGTTTAAGATATATGGTGAACGGTCATCGCCGACTGAGGGGCCGTACTAAAGATATATAGTGAACCGGAAAGGGGTGTGTCTAAGATTTTTTGCGCAATCTATGGTGAACCGGAATCGACAAATGAGGGCGCTTGCTTATAATGTGATGAACCGCCGGTCCTCTTGCAAGTGCGTTTGCAAATGGGGGTGGGCTGCGCCGCCCCCCAGACCCCCCCCCCCGCTTTCCCAAGCCCTGTTTTTCCTTAGCGAACTTCGTACCATCAAGAACGCTGTGGCCATTTGCGATGGTCGCAGCAAGTCAAGCGCATAACTATTCTGAGACTTTTCAAATCCCGTCCCCCCCTCGCTTTATGTTTGGGCCACGCAAGCTAAGATATGTGGTGAACGGTTTTCGCCGAATGAGGGAGTGTTAAAGACGTATATGGTGAAGCGAAATTGCCAAATAAGGGGTGTGCTTCATATATATATATATATATATATATGGTGAACCGGAATCGCCAAATGAGCGGGGTTGTTTAACACGTATCATGAACCGTTATCGCCAAATGAGGGGACGCGTTTATCATGTATGTTGAACCGTTATCGCCAATTAAGGGTGGTGTGTTTAAGCTATAGGCTGACCCGGAGTTACCAAATAAGGGGGGGTGCTTACCGCTTGCAAGTGCGTTTGCACATGGTTCCCGATGAGAACGTGCGTGGATGCCGGTATGTTGCTGCGACGCTGCCAAAAACAGCACAAGTGCGCGAATGTGAGGCCGTGCGCAGGGTGTCTCATGAGCGCCGTGCACTATGTTGCATGTACATATGGCCCATCCTTGTAACGCGTACAGGTTCTATAGAAGCTAAGCCCGAAAACCATAAAAATTACCAAAAAAAAGACCTAAAGCCAGGCTTTTTCTCATGACTCTTGCAGGTTTTCTAGCATTCCAGCACCGAAAACCATAAAAAATACCCAGAAAAAAACCATAAAGAATACCCAAAAAAAAACCTGGACCCTTCCTGCCTCACTGCCTCTGCAGGCCTCGAGCCTTGTGTCAGTGCTCTGCGGCGAGCTGCAGAGTGAGCAGGCGCAGACGCGACATGACAGGTTTCGGAGCCCATCAGTGCATCCCCGTACGGGTCAGGCAGTGCTACGGCAAGAGCGGGAAGCGGCTGCACGCCGCCGGGAGCTCTTCCGCTCCCAGGACGGGGCCACAATTTTTCACACCTGGAACCGCGTCTTTTGAACGGTCCGAAGCATTCCCAAACCCACGTCCTCCGCTTTAAAAATTAAAAAGCTCTTGAAACGAGGTTGAGCAGAAGCGCCGGGAACTCGCACGGTTGCAGGCACGGATGTTACACAGGGGGGTTCCACCCTCAGAAGCAGAACGGTAAGACGCCTCCAATGTCCCTGAGGACCTAAACGACAAGCTTGTGGAGGACTTGAATTCGAAAGGCTGCTTTAAGCAACGCAAGCCATAGAACTGCCGTCGCGCGGAAAAATCACATTCCAACACTGCGACTGTGGCCTTCGCATCTTCTGCGTTCTGGGTTCCTCATGGATTTACTCTGAGCTTTGCCTACGCTCTACTCTGCTGTACTTGTGCTTCCAGAAATGAAAAGATAACTAAATATGATGTATATATCTATTTTGTATGTACATAACATGTGTACATGTGTATATATATATATATAGTATATATAGATAGAGATAAGGATTCATACACAGGTCATATACACACATACACATACAAGCCGAGAGCTCCTAATTTCAAGCAACTCCATGCTCCCCTGAAGCTTCTTGGGTAGACGCGAGATGCAAGCTGAGCACTTCCATCGAACAAGTCACACGACACCAAGAGGCTTTCACTCCCAATCCTAAAGGATCTGTCACCCTGAATTTGGGCCACAGTGGTAAATCAATGCTAGCGACAGCCACAATACTGAAACTCCAACGAATTGGGTGCATAATTTTCGGATAGTTACCCAACTAGCGCAGTAGCCTTTTGTCATCTCCGCCAGTACAGCTCAAGCATCCTTGTAAAAGCCTGAAGTTGTTTGAAAAATCGTTCCTTTCGCTGTGAAGCACTCATGGCCGGACAGCGAGCCCGGCAGAGGTTGGCTTGCGCACTCATCTTCTTGTTGGCGATGGGGGAGGTCTCCGCCGCGCGAGAGAAGTTTGCAACGGCGCATGCAGTCAAGATCATCGGAAATGCCAGGGAGGAGTCCTCTGCTCGACATCAACAGCAAGAGTTGGTCACGGATGCTGGCAGCTTCTCCGTCTCGACCATGTGGGCCTCGGGGAAGCAGAGCTCCTTACAATGGCTTTCTGCTAATGTGACCTTCAGATACAAGGAGGAATCGCCTCCGTACATCGAGATTGGTGGCCTGGACACAACCTACCGCATCTTGCCGGATGCCGTGGTGGCGACCGAGAAGATCAACGGCATGCAAACCATGTGGATCGTGGGATGGCAGGCTTATCGTGCAAGCAAGGGCCACTTCGGATCCAGCCACTACTCCAAGGACGAGGCCCTGTACTTTCGCATGGAAATGAATCCGGTGGTGGGAGAGACCAAGTCGGGTTACTTCCGTTCTGCAGGGCACAAGATCTATGAACACAAGGAAGGCGACAAGATTCTCCGCTACTTCCTCAACAGCAAAGGCACACAAAAGACAGTGGACGAGGATGCTTGGCTGGTCTGAAGACGTGTCTTACAGTCTTACATCTTTTCTTGGGGGTATAGCGCTTAGGGAGACACTGCAGCTTTCTGTGGCTTCCGGTCATTCAAGGATGAGGTGGACTTTCACGCAGGGAAGTCCTACGACCCCAAGATGGAGCTGCAGGTACCCGGCCAAACCCCGAAGACCATGACGCGGCCCGATCAGGAGGGTTACGGGTTTATGGTTTAGGGTTGAGGGTTTATGGTTAAGGTTTTAGGGTTAAGGGTTTAGGGTTTAGGGTTTAGGGATCAGGACCTCATGGCGTTGGTGGATGGCATGCTCGGCGAGGTCTCCTGCATCCTGCTTGAGCCAGGGAGCTGTTTGTCTATTTCCTCTTTTGTGTTTCCTTGTCTTCGGGTGAGGAGGTAGAAGTTTCAATCGACGTAGATCGGTTTCATTGTTCGAGGCATGGGCAAGCCAAATACCTGTGCTTTCCGCTGCTTCTACGACTCGGAGAACGATGTTTGTGGCCCCTTGCACTTCTGTGAGAAGGTTGGCTCCGGCCCTGCAGACAACCTGGCACCTTTCGGTGCTGAACAGAAGTGCAAGGCATTGGGTGCAACAGATCATGAGGCTGCGGATCTGGAGATTGCAAAGAAGATGGAGGATATCAAGAAAGAGATGTTAGACCTTGTTGAGAAGATGGAACAGAGCCCAGCGATTTCGGAAAAGAGTTCGAGCCGATCTTCTTTGAAGGCTTCTGCGGCGATGTTTCAGGAAGTCACCCAGATGCTTGATGTGATGGAGGCCTTCCCGATGAGACTTGCCCCCGAGGGGGGCGACTTCACCAGAGCTGCGGCACGCGCGGCGAAAACGGACATGAAGCACTGGCGCGGCCGCCCGGACCGGTTGACCATTCCACAGTACGAGAAGGCAGGCCAGGCCAGCATCGCGGACGTGCGCGACTCTCAGGACTTCTCTGTGCCAGCAAAGCTGCACAGCACCTTGGTGGACTATGTCAAGAAGCGCCCCAATATGCTTATCCAGTTCCTCAAGCAAGAGACCCATGATAAGTGTAGCCTCAGCGACGAGACGGACGACAGGCGAGCAGAGTTGGAGACCTTTGCGGACTACTTTCTGAGTGTGCCTGGCCACAACCTCAATGACCTGAAGGACATTTCCCAGGGGATCCCAACAGCGTGCCGGGATTTTCTCCTCAATGAAGGAGAAACGGATGTCCAGAGCCTGATTCAGACCGCTGAAGAAGGGAAGCAGTTGTTGTCCAACTCGGCGAGTGCAACGAGTGCAGGCGCAGACGGCTTCATTCAGGTGAAGTCGAGCCGTTTGGCCCGTGCCTTAGGCTCGGAGAAGATCAGCCTCCTGGAGAGCGGGACTTCGGATTTCGCAGACGACGAGTCTGAGAGAGTGCAGGACGTGGGCTTCATCATTTTCTGCATCGTCGTCTGCATCGTCTTGTTCATCGTCACCGTGGGCCTCTGGAAATTAAGCATCCACATATTCCAAAAGTCATGCTTGACGGAAGGTGGATTGGGCTGCTTCGGGACCTTCGTCTTCTTTGTCATGGGAGCCCTGGTCATCTGCTTCGCCTTCGCCTTGGCCTTGCCCATTGGCATCACGGTGCTTGTTGCCGCCATCCTTGGGGGTGTCGGGGTGGTGGTGAAGGAGGTGGGAGTTTCCGAAAATTAGGGTTGGGCGTCCTTACAGCAAAGATTTCACTATCTTGCCATTTAGGGTCATTGGGATCCTACTATTTAGTCTACTAGATTCGGGCCCCCACCCTGAACCCGAAATCCCTAGCCCTAAACCCGAAACCGCCCTAACCCGAAACCCCTAACCCGGAACCCGAAATCCCTAACCCTAAACCCGAAACCCCTAACACTCTTTTCGGAAACGCCCAGGTCAAAGACGAGGGCTCCGAAGGGACGATGTCGAGCTGGAGGGCCGCCATGTGACCGACCGCCGAGCCGTGGGGGGTGGTCGAAAAGGCATCTTAGCGTCATGTCTTTTTCAGCTCTATTCTCTATTCAGCCACACCGGACTCGAGGTGGACATGCCTGCGGAGCCCTCGAGCCGCATTTCGAAAACCTGAATGATTGTTCGAGCAGCTCGCGAAGCCCGGGATGATCCGAGATGCATAGATTCGCACCAACTAAATCTGAAGGCACTGAGGTGGGATGCTGTGTAACATTCCTCGACACATCGGGCACGTTTCGGCAACAGATTGCGCTCAGTTTCAGCATGACAGAATTGAGAGTCAGGTGTCTGAGAAGGTCCTATTGCAACAGGAACCAAGTTTGCTGCCCTCACATCGCAGCGAAAGCCCAGCACAATCTCAGCCACGATAATCGTAACCACTTGTGCATTTCACTACAGTTCGGTTCAAGGCCATGGCCTGCAGATCCGAATCGATGCCCAGACATGTAGTCGTAGAGCCCGACGGGCCGTGAGTTTCTCAGCCCTGCTCCAGCTGAGATCATGGAGGTGCCCTTGGCACAATTCTCTTTGAAGACTTCACTTCACTTCAGACGGCTTCAGACAGAAAATCTCAGGTGCACACCCGGTCGGTTTCAGCTTTTGCATGGTGGCTTGGCTTTCTGCTTCACACTCTCGCCGGCCTTGGTGTCCTCGGCGCGGCACAGGTGAAACACTCAGGAGAGACACCTGCTACTGTATGGAGCACTTAAGCATGCAGGCGTGGTGAGTCCCAGGTCGATTGGCGCCTAGGCTTCGCGCTGCTGCTGGCCTACTTCATCGTTACTGTGGGGTTTGCAGTGAACGTGGACCAGGAACCCAGGCACTCCAACGGGAAATGCGCCATAGAGTGATGCCAACGGCGATGCTTCCCTGGCAGGCTTGCAAAAGGCCGCAGTGCCGCTTGGGTGTTGGTGTGGGGCTCAATCCAGCTCTCTTGTGTCGAGTCGGCGTGTCCCTCTTGTGTCGGTTGCAGTTCGAATCAGCTCAATATCCAGCGCAGCAGCGATCAGCGGCTTGACGACACTGCATGACAATGCAGGCTACAGTATGAGCTTAGGAATAACACTGACCAGCTGGTTCATTGTCATGTTAAGGCGAAGCAGTGTGCTGAGGTCTGCGGCCAAGTGCTGTTTCTCGGTTCCTGGCCGGGAACCCAGCGCAGTTCCGCAACGTATAGCGTGACACGGCCAGCACACTTCAACGAACTTCAGAGTCAGCTTGAGCGGCAGAGCATGTGTTCTACTTTGATTGTGTGTGGTTCTGCTTTTCCCTCCGTGTGCAGACAAAACAGGATTTGAAGGCCCACACTGCTCCAGGAGCCTCATCGCACGATTTTCTTTTCCGGTCCAAAGCCGTAGGCCCGCACCACTGTCGACATGTCGATGTAGCTCGACAGTGCGATGCATGCCGCACAGTCGACACCTCGGGTCTCAAACAAGCACAAAAACAATGACAGTAAGAACGTGAGCAGTGTCCTGGACTTCCCTGGAAGCAGAATTTGTAGTTGCAGTAGTTGTCCTGGAGCTTTCGTCTCTCTACAAGATGCCTCGCATTCAAGCTTCTCAAACTCGAAAGACTGTGGAGGCTCGCGGCTGGTGGGGAGGTCCTCGAGGCAGCATGCCGAGAGCAAGACAGGACTCCCAGCACTTATTTTTCGAAGGCGGCGGAGGATGCTGAGGCGCTTCCAGACACGAGCCATGTGGATCGGACCCAAGTCAGTTTAGGAAGAGGAGGGATAGTGGGCAGCAGAGGGAACAAGGCCTCCGCCGCGGGTTGTGCTCAGGTCTTCGGCGGGCAACTTTACTTTTCGTCTTCAGACCTGCATGGCAGGCAGTGTTGACTTGCGTTCCCATCGAGACAGGTCGTTATTTCCGCAGGTGAGCACAATCACGAATAGCGATGCTGGAAGGTCATGACTGGTCACGAACATTCTCGGCCTAACTCGGATCTGCTAGAGTTCGAAAGCATCCGGCTGTTCGGCGATGTTCGCCCTGCACAAGGATCCTGATGCAAAGCAATGGAACCTCGGTGGCTCCTGTGCCTCCAGGCCGTGCTGGCGGGCTCCAAATCCTCGATAAGACTGCCAACAGCCCCACGGAAAGTAAGGTGTCCGTGATGCCCATGGTTTCCGCGAGCTGGACGGACGCCTGATGTTCTTTGGCGTCCCTCAGAAGCACTTTCATTCCGCAATTTGCGGCGTGACATCGCGTATTTTGTACCGTTGTCGCCGTGACATCCGTGCCCTCCTGTCCGCCGTTCCAGGCCGCAGGTGCGGCCCTCGGTCTTTTCGAACGACAAGCCCATGCAGGCCCCTAGGCCCCAGACCTCTTCTCCTGCATCGCGCCAGACGGAAGCTTGGACAGTGGGGAGAGCGTTTGGGCAATCTCTGCCAGCTGCCGCCCCAGACTTCAGAGTTCTCTTGGCCGTGCTCAGCGAGCAGATGCAGAGCTGCTCGCAGATCGCGCAGGTGATGCCGATGCAGAGCTGCTCCGAGGGCCCTTCCACGAGACCCTCCGATGGACCGCGCCGCTCGAATGGCTTTCTGCAAAATCTTGCTTGTGGCTTGTGCCTCCTTATAACCTAACCCCCATCTTGTGCCGAGGGCCGAGGACCTGGCCTTCAAGGCGGCAACTTTTTTGCTACTTGGGAATGCCCGCCCCACCAGCACCCTATGACTCGGTCATGTCGCACTGCCATACTCAACTTCCACGTGCAAGTGCTGCAAGTGTGTCTCGTCGGCTAGTTGGATCCGAGGAGCTGGAGTCTTCGAGAGCATGGTTTAAGGAAGAAACGGATTCTCAATAACGTGACTGAGGGCAGCATCACCAAAAGTTTTGGGCCTCCCACTAGCGAGCATATGAGCCACTCGTTTCAATGTTGAAGGGTTGGGGCGAAGCGTTTTCACATTTACTCTGCAGACATGACTTGATATCTTGATGTTGTGGGTGCGGCGACTTCTGGCAAGCTCGTGGGATTAAATCCCAAACCAGACTCGATGACTGAACGATCGCTTCATCCCTCAGTTTTGCCGAAAAGCTCTGTCGTTACATAGTCGATGATGGGATAGTTGCCATGCTGCGGCTTGGGTACAACCTGCAACACGAGTTCACAACGCCGCCGCGGGGATGGGGAGCCGTCTTTTGCCGATTCGCTGGTACTGGCTTTGATACGTTTTGTGATACAGGTGAAATCATATTTGTTGCGGCTTGTAGGTGGGACGCGACCGGGGCTGACGGAAGCCATGACTTGGTGTCCGAAATGGTTTTCCCTTCGAGACCGGAAAAGTGGATGCGATTTAGCAATCTGCGAACTGGATTTTTGATTCAAAACTGCGAAATTGCGGTGTGCTTGACCCGGATACCTTCACGAGGCCAAGATGCCGTTCCATTCGCAACACACTGAGACCGCAAAAAGCAGGTTCATCCGCAGCACTGTGATGTTGGTCGGACTACATCTCCGCCTCATATCGGCGCTTGCTGCAAGGCTTATGCATTTGTAGGATTGTCACGGCCTGCGTGCCTCTGCGACATTTGCCAAGAAGTGTTTATGGACGCGGCCAACTTCGGCCAAGCAGGATTGCTAGACATGCGGCGACTTGAAGAATTAAGCACAAACATAAGGCGAGTAGAGGCGACAATGCAGACATCACAACAGTGTGCTTGTATTTCTGGCCCGGAAACAGGCTGCTGGCACATGCGGTCCCTTCCGCAGAGAGACGCTCTACTCCAACCTCAGCCTCATCGGCCCAGGCAAGAAGCTGCTTGGAAGTCCTTGTTTCCTTTCTGGACTCTGGATTCTCTGCTCCCAGGCAAGGACCTTCCGCCGGACTGTGGTGACCTCGCGGCAGGGCTGGAGATGCGGTCCCTCCCGCATCGTTGCACTGCAAAGTCATTCAGACCTCACGGCATGTCTGGCTGGTTGTCCTTGCCTTCGTTTCTAGGAAGAACGTTGCTTGACCGCCGCAGCATTTGCAGCACCGGGGCAGCTGAGTCTGGTGGAGAGGGTGCCAATTGTACTAAAACCAAGCCAAAACCGCGAGACGTACCCAGCAGCCGCGCGAAGATGTGAGTTCGTTGAGGGTGACAATTGTACTAAAACCAAGCCAAAACCGCGAGACGTACCCGGCAGCCGCGCGAAGATGTGAGTGCGTTGAGGGTGCCAATTGCACTAAAACCAAGCCAAAACCGCGAGACGTACCCAGCAGCCGCGCGAAGATGTGAGTTCGTTGAGGGTGCCAATTGTATTAAAACCAAGCCAAAACCGCGAGACTTACCCAGCAGCCGCGCGAAGATGTGAGTTCGTTGAGGGTGACAATTGTACTAAAACCAAGCCAAAACCGCGAGACGTACCCAGCAGCCGCGCGAAGATGTGAGTGCGTTGAGGGTGCCAATTGTACTAAAACCAAGCCAAAACCGCGAGACGTACCCAGCAGCCGCGCGAAGATGTGAGTGCGTTGAGGGTGCCAATTGTACTAAAACCAAGCCAAAACCGCGAGACGTACCCAGCAGCCGCGCGAAGATGTGAGTTCGTTGAGGGTGTTGAATGGACAGCTCCACCTCCTGCAGCCTTGTCTGACGAACCTGTGACATTGATCAAGAGAACCAAGCTGAGCGTCGAGTTGCTGAATTACGCGGGAATGCGCTATTGAGTGATGCCGAAGCATCACGTGAACGTGCATTGACGAAGCGAATGTTGCTGCTTGCAAGCACCGACTCCTTCCGAAAAGATGAGACGAGTATCTCAACCCGTGGCTCCAATGTCACATGAAGAAAGTTTGAACTGCGCTGCTGGCGATGTTGTTCACGAGTCACAGGAAAAAAGGCCCTTGACCACACAAGACATTCTGGAACATGTAGAAGGCTTTGACTTCGGTGGTGCTGGCGATGTTGTTATGGGGTGTACATGAAGACGTACCAAGGCGCATATGGAAGAAACAGCCGAGACCTGATGGCACAAGGTCTCCTTTCTTCTATCACTTGTTCGCGAAGACACCCTGCACGCAAAAGGAAAGAACAGTCCTGCCAGCTGCACAGGCTTTCACAGGCATTACTCTCGTTTGCGCAAGATGTGGTGACCAGAAAGCTCGAGACGATAGCACGGGCTTCTGTCGGTGATGGAGGTGGTCACGTTGCCGACTCAGTGGGCTTCGGGAATCAGCCATGGTCTGTGAGCGTGAAACAAGACGATGGAGAGGATGCTGCAAATTCAATTGGCTTTGGCAAGCAACAGTGATTTGTGTTTGCAAGACAAGACCTGGCTTTCACAGGTTCAGATGCAGAACCTCATGGTGCGTTTGTTACTGCAGACATGTACCACACCTTCGTAGATGAAGTACGTCATGGTCGTGCCTCTGTCGCAGATCTGCCAATGGGCATTGTAGATCTACGACAAGATATACTTCAGATTGGCATGCAGGTACTGAAAACACATGACGTGGGTGTCGTCATTGATCAGCTCCACCTCCTTCGCTTTAGCACTGAGGATGGGAATCACGTGAGGCTAAAGCTTAACGCAGAAATGACATGTGACATGAGAAACAGCTCGTTCATGAGTGCAGCTTTGGCTACATGGCTTCGGTATCTGAGACCGTTCCGACTGGCAGGCTACACCAAAGCTTCGATACTGGCATTGGGCTTTGTGCTACGGCTGGAAACTTCGTCTCTACAGTTGAGACAAGTGCAGCGATGCATGCACAGTGTGCGCGCGAAGTATGCGGACACAACCTTTCCCTATGTATTCCATGAGCGGTTTCCATCCCGACAGGGACGCGGCAGTGGCAATTGCGAAGTGTATCACGACAGCGACCAATTTTGCAAGTATTTCTCGGGTATGGTTGATGTTGCATGCCACAATTTTCTTATACGGCATCCGTGGACTCTGCCGATGAGCTGGTCGGTTGTTAAGTCGCTAGGGCTACGGACGACCATCCTACAGCTTCTGCCCAAGGACTCTTGCCAGAGATGTTGGTGCCAGAATCGAGTGAGAGTCATGTCAGGATCAGTTAAAGGATAACGTGGAATGCATCCATGGCTACATAAGGCGTCGTGCCCCAGAGACGGCAAGAAAATCAGAAAGAAGCGCAACAAGTAATTACCGCCAGGATCAGCGCAGCGGAAAGCAAGATGAAGTCAGAGAGCGTGAAGTCCCCGATGACCGCAGCGGAAAGCAAGATGAGGTCAGAAAGTTCATTGAAGATCGATGTACGCGGACCGACAGGACCGATGCAAGCCACGTGACATTGATCAAAAAAGCCATCGCAGAGCGTTGTGGCATTCGCTTATGTAAACTTTACATAGTCTCCATCATTCTGAATGCCTTGAAGATCAAATCAGAGTCTCGTGCGACGGCAGCCGGAGGTCGGATATTGACAGGATCCGGCATTAATTCATGGAGAGCTGGCAATCAAAACTGCTTGCGCCTAGAAGATGTCACGACGGCGGCATACGTATGGAGCGAACTCCAAGGGGGAAGCATCGGAGCATGGAAAAGGTGATGTCGCGTTTGAGTCTAGCCTTTGCATGTTGCAGTGGAGCAGCTTCAGCATGACATGTGGCCCCCTGCGTTGATGCTGTGCATTCAGCTTGCTGGATGTCGGCATGGCCTCACCCTCATCCTCATCCCTCGCCCTCCTCACCCTCATCCTCGCCCTCATCCTCACCCTCGCCCTCACCCTGATCCTCACCCTCACCCTTATCCTCACCCTCACCCTCGCCTTCACCCTCGCCTTCATCCTCACCTTCATCCTCACCCTCATCCTCACCCAGGCGGGTTTAAGGAACCCAGGAAAATGCCTGCGTGCATTTTGCGGATGCGGGAGGCCCAGCACCTCACGGCTCCTGGGTGTGCTTTTCTTGGGAGTGCTCCCACAGACAGGCTCGGCCGAGCCACATGCAAGTGCCAGAGCCAGTTCGCAAGACTCGCGACGTGTTCAAATCCGCGAGGCCTCGGGGCTTATCTCCTGATCCGAAAACAAGTGGCAGCGGGCCCAGCGGGCCCAGCCAGGCTTAAGTCTAGCTCTCTGCACTTCTCTGCTCTGCTCAGCCTGGTGCATTTGTGAGCGTCTTTGTGGGCGCCTATGCCACTGTGCTGCTGATCCACCTGCTGCCCAGTCCTCAGTCGACGGAGAAGATCCAGACCCGATGCCACGTTTAGGACTCTGGCGGTGCAGAAGGATGGAAGGGCGCAAATTGATGCAAATTGACAAGGGAGGAAGCAAGCAAGGAGTGACATCTTGGTATTCTTGCATTCACGTGCCTTTGCGGGTTTCTTTCCAGTGTTGTATGGCAAGAAACAGAAAGATGGTTGTTCAGGGCTGACTCATGGGATGAATTCTGTTACACGTTGCATGGAGCTGCTCACGGCCGACCTCCGCCACCGAAGCATTGAGACACGCAGACGCCGCAGGGCAGCCGCAAGCCGCAGGGTTGAACACGGCCTTTCTTTCAGCAGCCAGGACTGTACTGAGTCCAGCATCCTGCAGCCAAGGCTCTCAAGATCTCTCAAGGTTCATGTCGGTGGGCATCTCTGGGCTCAACAGACGTGTGCAGATATTGCTTCATTCACCGGGGCACAAATCGCAAAATTCCAGCCCCTGGCCGCATCGCATGACAGTTCCTGTCCTAGCCTGTCGAGGTTGGACAGGCAGCGTGCAGCAGATAGCATGCAAAGTTCAAAGAATGCAAGTGGCTTCAGTCTATTTTGCATATAATGCTAGAGTTCATTCAACAGCCTGTCACATCACGTCCTGATGCTCTCAAGACAAAAGCAAACAAAAACGGCTTCCGACGACCAGAGTACACAGCATCACCGGCCGATCCCACCATGATTACAGTCTCCGTCGAAAGGCCGTCCCGATCAGGATGCCGTCTGGATATCCAGCTTTCAAGAAAAATTGCTGTTCGACGAGAGGACATTCCCTCTGCCTATGCACGGCATACCCTGTTTGTGTGCCTATTTCAGCTCAACAGCCAGCAAGTTGAACTTCAGTAGAACTCGTAGCAGGAGCCTTTGGAAATTTGGCCAAATTAATCGCAAGCTGCTGGTTGTGTATGTAATATATAATTAATCGGGGGACATCGATGTAAATACAGGGCATCCTTAAGTTGAGCCCTGGCACCCACTGTGTTGCTTTTGATTGCCTCTCTAGCGAAGTACTTGTTCGGCAGTTTTATTTTGGGAGGTTCTCAGCGCTTGACACCATGTCCCTCAGAATCAGAACCGTCCCAGAGTCCCAAATCCATGATCCCGTTTCACAATGCTTTCACGTGTTTGTCACGTGACTCAACTCAGTATCCCAGAGCGTTCGGATTTGTGCAACGCGTTCATGCGCTTCCTGCAATCTGCAGATGCAAAGTTGCGGCTGTTTGGATGGACCTCGCAGCAGTGGTGCATGTGAGCCTTACTTGGTGTCTGTCAGCAAGAAGGGGTCACTGTTGCCATTCTCCCCGTCGTGTCTAGGCCAGTCAGTTGACCCCGCTCCAGCACTTCGAACACAATGCAGCCTAACTCTGACAAGTGACTCCATTCCCAATCGATCCCATCCAAGATCTGGCACCACGGCTTGCCCAGCTTCTCGTAGAGCTTGAGAAGCATCAATGTCATCAAAGACGAGCTGATCGCGTGCTTCATCCGTGGTTGGTCATATTATTGATCTGATCACTCTTAGATGTCCATGGCCTTCAAGCAGTCGTCGAAGGTTCACGACCCATGTGGCCGTCCTGCAAAGAGTTGTACGTTTCCGGCCCATCGATCGACGCTTCGGTCATGCATCCTGCAGTAAAAACGAAGCCTCCCGGCCTCGCTGATGATTCCGAGCGTCATCCTTGTTTTAAAGTCCCAAGGGTTTGGCAAAGGAATTTGTTTCAAGCCGGACATCTGTGCTTTTGAAGGAATCTTTCCCGGTCCTCAGATGTCTTGAGCGTCAAGCCATAGAAGTAAGGCATACTCGGGCTCCGCATACCATGGCAACGTTTGAGAGCCCGAGCTTTCAGAAGTGCATTGGCTGCATTGGGCTTGCAGACGAACAGGCCTCCGTGGCTTTGTAGATCGAGCTCAAGTTTGATATTCCAATTTGTGAAGCGCACAAAGCTGTGCTTCTTCTCCTGGTCTGAAGCATAAGCCGTGTGAACGTGGGGTTTCTTCCGCTTCATGGCGTAAATTCGAGATCGTACCCCGAACCCCTTGATCTTCTCTCGCGGAGAGGTCCTTGGAGTCTTTGCATGCTCTTACTCTTGCCTCTCGGCCATCGGCTCATCGTCATCTCCTTCGGCACCAAGAGATCTCATGTTTAGCAGTTGGAGAACAGCAGTTTGTAGTGTGAAAAGCCGGTACCTCTCCTGATGACGAACTCCCCGTGTGAACGGGAATTAGATTTCTATGTTGGTTCATGGTTCATCAAACTTGCGTCCTGGTGGCTTCGCACAGCAACTCTCTGGAACTCCAACCTGGTGTGCTTTTCCTCTGAGGCGCTCCAACACACCCGTTCAGGAGTCCCACATGGCATCAACCGTGCAAGATCAAATGGAGAAGTTGACTGCTCCTCGCCTTCGGAAAAGCTGGATGAATGCCAATTAGCTTGCTGGCCGGGAACACAGACTGCATCCGGTTCGTGACACGGCTTGGAATTCTTAATCTTCTGGCTAGACGTCGAGAACAGAACTGTCCCTTGTTCAATGATATCGGCTCAGTCGACTGAATGAGTGTTGCTAAATGCTCAGCTTATCTGTGCAAAATGTTCGTTCCGCGATAGCTGAAGTGACTTTGTTTAGGCTGAAGGCTAAAGGTCAACATTTGCTCTGCGGGCTGAGAGGCCATAGCCTTAGCTCTTGTGCACCCAACTGCCAAACCAGTCCATTGCCATTGATGTCGAGTGAAATTCATGAATGATGAGCTCATCCTCGTCGGCAGAGGCTGACATGAATGCCTGCGTTGGTGATGCCGTATTGGCGGAACTCGGCAGTGAAAGATGGTTTTCCTGGTCACTTTGCTTCCACGCGATCCGAAAACAGCCAACAGCACCCTTATCAGATCATGGTCTTGAATACTTTGTTGTGCAAGACATCGCTTCATACTCCGAGGTTCCTGAAGACAGCGACCATCT